TTTACATAAATAAAATAATAAATTTAATTGTCAATTTTTAAAAATATTCATTAAATTATAATTTTTTAATTTTTTAATTTTTTTATAATAATTAAACTAACATGTATTATTTTTATATATAAATTAATTTTTCACGTAAAAAGATGTTTTTTTTAACCGTTGTTCTTGCATTTTAGAAACATCCCAATTTGGCGTTAGAAAAAACAAAAATACTACTTAATTGAATCGATCAAGTTGGCTTGATAATTCATTATTGGTTAAATTTTTAATTTGGTCCTTAAACTATTAATGAACTTTTAATTTGATCCTTAAACTAAAAAAATTTTTAATTTGATTCTTACTGTTTACCAATTTGCTCCAAGTTGATATTTCTATACAAAAACAATTGACGTGTCTCGTTATTAATATAACACGTGGTCGTTAAGTTACTGTTTTTTATTATTAAATTATTATTTTTTATCGTTAAATATTAAACAAGTCAACTTTTTTTGGTACGGAAGGACTAATTTGGGGTAAATTGGTGAACAGTAAGGATCAAATCGAGGATCCGTATAATAATTCAAGAATCAAATCACATACTTTTTAGTTTAAAGACTAAATAAAAAATCTATATAATAATTTAAAGACCAAATTAAAAATTTAACCTTCATTATTCTTACACGTCTAAGTTCTCAAAAGAGGAAAAAAAAAACAAAAAGTCTAAAGAGAGGTGGGTCTGAGCAGAACCATGGACCGGGCCGAACAAATAAAGGTAAATATTAGGCCCGTTAAGTAAAGACGAATTGACACCAGCACACACATGTAGGAAGACCCAAACACGCGCGCCAGCAGGTCTTATAGGGTTTCCAACGCAGCCATATATGCAAAGGGCACAGTCATTCCGTCTCCTCATTTTCTCTAGGGTTCGGGCCGCCGATTTCCGCACAGATCGCCGTGGGTCGAAGTAAGTTTCATATAGAGTCTGTATTAAAATAAAACTAACTAAGATATAAAATACTAAAATATTCGACATTAACATAATCATTCAACATAAATTTTAAATTATTATATTTTTAAAATGTTACTACTTATATGACAATCAGATTTTTTATTATATTCGATATATTTTTTTAAGTAGTATATCAAATTTATCATTATCTATTAATCTATCATATCTCTATATGAATTTAAATAGATAAAATACTTTATGTTTTGTGAAATTTTTTAGTTTATGTAGAAAATTAAATTTACTTATTACTAATGCTGAATAAATCATGTTGATCCATCTCTAACTTTTATTAAATTTATGGTATATATTATTAAAAGTTATTATGTAAAATCTTCTCTCAATCTCAATTATGTCCTTCATATCAATATGGTGATCAAGTATTAAAAAGCAATAAGAATGATATATTTATTATAAAATAAGAATCTCAAAAAAATAAAAATCATAAAATCTATATTGAATTAATTAGGTTATATTGTAGTTCTAGTTGACTAAATCAATTCATAATAAAAGGAATAAAATTTGAAATCATAGTTATTGTTTCCCCAAAAATCCTTTAGTGGCCTCGCATGTATGAAATCTAGATGCGGGCGTGCCACTTACTTTGCTGAAAGTAAGAAATGAGGACTTTCCCAACGACCCTTTCCTTCCTCACGGTCGACCTCTTTGCAAATGGCGGGAAGAACATTGGATTAAAATTGAAATTTGCGCCTACAGATGATTTGCAAGAGGGAGGGATACCTTCTTGCAGAATGAGTTACGAAATCTACCTTAAACAAATCCAAGGACTTAAATACTACTGTGACTTAAAATTAATAAATCCTAATTGAATTAAATAATTTGCAATTTAAAATAAATTTATGAGAATAAAATATGCCCAAATTAAACTAAACATGTTCATTGTTAAATTAAAATGCTATCTAATGGCAGCTTTGGAAATTAAAATGCTGCAGAATTAAAGATTTTACCCTAATTAACATTAAAATTAACGTGGACAATGATTAAACTAACATGCTTGAAGTTGAAAAGAAATGTGAACACTACATAAGTAATCATTAAATAAAATGCTACTTATCATAAATATTAAATTAATTGCAAATAGAAAGAGAACAATACCTTGCATAAACTTGAAAGATTGAAGTTCATTGCATGAAAGGAAATTGTTGAACTGAATACATGAATTAATTTGCCTATTGGAATGATGAAAAACAACCTAAATCTATCGGGATTTGTGCTGAAATTCAAAATCTTGAAGTAATTTGTAGAGAAAATAAAATTCTAAAAATTTGCAGATGTTTGAGTGGGGCTGGCTGTGTGTTCTTCCTTCCAAAATTTCCTTTTTGTTCTCCTTTGGCTGGCAGTAACCCCCCACTTTCTATAGTTGCAAAGTTGTAGGTGGTTTCTTGAGGTAGTGGGACAGCTCATGGGACAGCTCACTGTTGACGACCACTTAAGATTTTTTTTTCAAAATAAATGAAAAATTAAAATTAAATGCGAAAAATATAGAAAAGAGGGAGTCGCCACTCGTCCAAATTATAAGGTGGGACAAGTCACCTAAAAATAGGTCTGTGCAGAGATCGGGTCCGGGGGTTCGGTTAGGAGTGAGGAAGGGCATATGCGCACCTCACAATCCTCCGTTTAAACACGATTGCATACTTTAAAATTGGAGTTTTGATTCAACTTATTTATTATGTTTATATTTGAGTCTTAAAAGGCAAACTTGAAAAAAGAGATAAACCGAATCAAAACATTTTTTATTTTTGGACTGAAATAGACAATCAAGAACATGCATGCACAATAAACACAAATAAAAATTAAATGGACTAATTTGATTAAAATAAATAACAAAAATAAAGGACTGATTTGAAAAGGTTTGAAACTTTTAGACTAAAGTGCTTGAACATGAAAGGATTGTGCGAAATTAAAATAAAAGAGATAACTTTTGATTTTTTTTCCTTTTTTTTTTTTTACTTTTTAACTTTTTTAGTTTTTTTTTTATTGGATTGGGTCTGGTTGATCCAACCCAAAAACACGAACCCACCAACCAAAGTGGGCAAAAACAGATTAAAACCTAGACCAAAATAAAATCTGGACAAAAACAGAAAGGATCTGGATTTTCTGTTCGGCCATCCAACAAAACAGAACAAAGA